TCACAAATCCGATGAAACGTTGAAGTTTTGCAATCCCATCGTCACCCCAGGTGGTGTTCAAAAGCCACTTGATATCTTGATAGTCCTCTTCGACTTCGTCCTCCTCCTGTTCTCTTTCGAGCTCCAACGCGCGTAGGCGATCATCGATGTCCGGGAACGGAATGACGGTGGCTTGAAGTTGTTCAAGCGTTCCAAAGCTCATTTCAGATGCCATTTGCATGGCCAGCAGCTTCATGGGGTCGCCGTCGGCATTGTTGCCGTCGTCATTGTTCTTCTTGTTGAATTGTCCTACGAGCAATGAGCCACAGGTCAGGCATTGTCAGGGTACGAAAGGTCTTTTGCATTTGGCGCAACGACAGCGGACAAACAAATTCACTTACGAGCGCTTCCAATCATCTTCTTGTCTCCGTCGTGGCGGTTTGTTTTGTGCTCGGAGGAAAGTGGTCGATCTGGCGGCTTTAGGCAGTCGGTTCGTCCCGCACTGTTGGCCCTTCGAACGCATTTAAGTCGCACACTTGCTGTTTGGACCAAAGAAACACAAACGATTTTTAGTTGTTTCTCGAAGTGTTTTGTTCAATTTGCCGCCTAAATCGGATATTTTAGAAAATGGTTCTAGAGGAAGCTTTTGCATGCCACGCAGCAAAAGATTGACGATGGAGTTGCTCCTTAATCCTCATGCACCGCGCCCGCGCCCGCTACTACTACTACTACTAGTAGCTAGCTAGCTAGCTTCTCTTAATGCTACTGTTTTACTGCCGAGACGGCGACGAAGAGCAGCAGAGTCTGTCTCTCAGTGCACCTCCGTTCGAGACAATCCACGATCGAAAAGGGAGACGAGAATTCAATCGACGGCGCTCCAGCTCTTTGCTTCCATCTCTTGAGCCTCCTGGTGCGGTGGAAAGATCTTCACCTACTTGAAAGGAAGCCTCCTGATTCTCTTGGAAACACGCTGCAATTCAGGCGACTCTTCTCGGTTTGTCGTAGCTTTGACGATGCAGTGAATCAAATTTTTCCTGGTTGCTCCTCAGCAAAGGCAGCAGCGTCTCCAGAGGCAACAGTGGTGTCTGCAATGCATATTCAAATACTGGAAAGACAAAAACAACCAACGTCAAAGGTGGTTCCTCAGCGACAAATCAATTCGACGCAACCATCGTTTCTTCCTCTGTTGCTGTGGAGCGCAAGTTGCTTCCACAACAGATAGATTTCACGACAATTCTATTTCAATGAACCAAACCCCACAACAACCAGGCAGCCGCATGCACGATCTTCTCCAAAAACTCTGAGCTAAAAGGAGAAAAATACAGCTCTTCTCTTCTCCCATGAATAGTTAAGTTGAGGTGGGGTGCAAGTGCCGGCGACAGCAATCTTCTTGAAACACACAACAACGACTGTCTGCAGTGGAGCCTCTTCTCTGCGATGGAGCCTATGCCGTGGGCCATTGAGGTCTATCACACTGCTGGCGGCGCTACAAGAAGGATGAGAGACCATGGTCAGCAACATTCATGCTGCTTCTGAATGTGCCTAGGACATGCATGGTTGTGGAAGATGAATTTGGGATGGGCTTTGCTATGTTCCTAGCTAGGGTACGTGTAAAGTCATCTCGTACGCTTAACTACGCTAGGAGGTGGATGTACCAAAGTGGAGGAGAATAGCAGAACAACAACACAACCGTGGTCACTGCTTTTGTACTTGTGGGATTAAGACTTCAGGAGAATATATACGTGACACAAATGCAAGGCTTCCCAACAAAGTACCATGTGGATGCCATGCAGATAGAGAGAAGGCATAGGCGCAACGGTTGAGGCTATCAAGCAGCATATGGTGTCATACTCATGCAATGCAGGTCCTATCGATAGCTAGCTTCCAAACGTGTCAGTTACACCGGTCCCTTGTTAATCTCCCCCGTGCAGATACCGGTAGGACGGAACAAGTGGGGAGGGGGTGAAGCTAAGGCGTGTGGATAGCTTCCTCATACCAACTGGCAGTCAGCTATGTGAAGGGGCCAGAGCGAAGAGGTTTCGATTGCGTCGGGAACCAAAGCAGGAGCTCGGACACAGAGGCTCGGAGAAGGTTGGCTTGGCTTGAAAGGACGCGGGATCCAAAGGATGTGCTCACATCACGACAAAAGGACGCTTGCATTGAACAGTAATCCAACAAACCAAGTCAGCAATTACAGTTCTAGATTACCTACAGTGTACCATGAGAAGAAAAGGATCTTGGAGAACACAGCAGATCAAGACTGGGACAATTTCGTAGTGAGGATATTGGGGAACAAGGGCCCAAACATCAGACGGGCGTGACCACCAACAAACCAAGACAGGGAAGCAGGAGCCAGACGGCGAGACTAGGCTTGACCGTCATTAAGACAGGGAAGCAGGAGCCAGACCGTGAGGCAGTCCAACGACCAAGACAAAGGCGGAGGAGCCAGGCCTCGAGATCAGACGTGACCGACACCACCAAAGAAAAAGGATCATGGGAGAAAAAATCGGGGCGACCAGGCAAATCGAAACCGACCAAGGAAAAGCGGAAAGAGGTTGAACACCAAAAGAGCCGATCCCGACTTGAGTTGATTGCGACCTTGACCTTGACGCTGGATTCCTCAGACATGGACACAAGTCTTGAGCCCGACCATCCCAAGAGACAAAGAATACCATAGAACCATGGCTTCAGCAGGTCAAGAGAGAGAAGAAGTTTGAGACTTAAGCTATCTAAGAGTGAACATGAGCTCGACGCCATCAGCCAGCCATGGGACAGATCCAAGCGTCACGGTACGGAGAGCGGGAACCTGGCAACCGACTGTCACCCATCATGCTGCAAAGAGCCAAACGGCAGCGGAACCAGAAGACCGGCCGACAGGGACATCATTATTCTAATAAGAGACCTACAGTACTCGTGCATCACATCCAAGGGTCACGGGGCACAAGGCAGCCAACCATCTAATGCCATGCATGCATGATGTTCACTAGCGGACTGTCACTCGACACGAACGGCAAAAGCACCATTGTCACCTGTCAACAGCCAACATTCAGCAGACCTATGTTGGGAACTAAAGGAGATGAGGCGGCAACGGTCGACGACCGTGAAACGAGCAATGACACAAAGACAGGAACACGTCGACTTACCTTGTACGAGGACACGGACTTTAGCTTTTCACAATGAACCAACCAAGAGTCCAAGAGCGAGCACTGGCTGAGATATCTGAGGAATCTTAATCTGCCACACCCCGGAAAGAGCACTGCCCTTGCCTGCCGCTCCAGGAGAATCCGACCTTCATGAGGAACGAAAGGAGTTAGTAGTGTATAATTACCCAGCACGAGGACGAACCAAAGGAAGAGAGCTACTCGGCTCTTGAGACAACAATACAGTAGAGCAGCAAGAAGCAAGGTGGCTTCGTGGCTGTAGAGAATAATTAAATCTTCAGTTAGAAAAACACTCTCAAATACCACATTCACCTCAGATGAGTTGATAGATTTGCAGCTCTTACAGACTAGAGTCGTAACGTACGGGGCCACAGGTTGTCTTACAATTGGTATTGCCAGGGACACAGGCATGTCACCTCATCCAGTCCGGGCACCACCATTGGTTGCACCTGGCACTGCACCTCCGGTACCATGAAAGATCTTACTAGATATACTGCGGTGAATCGTAAGACCCTCATGTACTGGTAGAAACAACTAATCAATAGTTTTTACCATGTCATTGCGGGCCGGATGCATCGGTACTAGTAGCTACTAGTAGTAGCTACATTCAAGGTGGAAGGGCTGATTCATCGACTTGTCGCTGTACATGTAGCCTGCGACAGGTTTGCAATGTTGTCTGTTGGGGATCGCGGATCATAGTGGTTCGGTCATTGCTCTCTCAACCATGATTGGCTGGCGTTTCGAGAGTCTTTAATGAGGACTGATTACTTAAATGCCAAGACTTGCCAATGAGATGCCACGAGAGACAGGTCCCGTCCCCATAGCAATCGCTACAGTGTACGATACACGCGCAACGAAGTGTCTTGGTTAGGTCGCTCGGAACCAGAGTTGGTTTGCCGTCGATGCATTTGCTCTGCCTGTTGCCTGTTGTATGAAGCTCACAAAATCAACTGGCGCAAACACAAACAGCACTTGCAAAGAACTCATCTCAACAACACTTTTCACAACCGTCACCATGTTCAACCAACCCGAAGAAACATTCGAAGATTTGAACTCTTCCATTGCCAGCCTTGACCTCAACGATCTTCCTAAGCCGGCGGAGGCAGAGAGGAAGCTCTCTGGAATTCGACGAGGTGTCTTTGTCGCGTACGGCATGAAATCCCTGAATTTTTTTGTGGATGTCAATGAAAGTCTCGCGGAAGTCCAGAGAACTGTGGAGGCAAGGACTGGAATCCCCATGGACAACCAAGTTCTCGAATGGGAAAACACTGGTGTTTTGATTGATGGCAACAAGTCCTTGCGCGACTACGGGATGATGTCAGGAGGGTTCTGCGCGTTGTCCTCCAAGGATGCCTAGACAGGTTCTTCAAGCCGGCTGAAGGTTTCGGTATGCTGACCAAAAGCCAATATACACGAGTGTGCGAAGCTCTGCTCAGCTCGCACAAGAAAGCTACCTGTTCAATCATTGTCTGGACAAGCTGTCCACCACTAGTGAATGCAAAGCAAGCAATAGATACATAAAAAGATACTAATGGGAATGTGATTCATACCTTGCGCATCCTTTAGGAGGAAGAAGCATCGAGCTACTACTAGTAGCTAGCTAGTACGGTACCGTAGTGCATCAAACGGCGCGCGGCCTTTAGACTAGGCGAGAAGCAACATCGCACTGCATGTAGCGCTTCTTCTCAGTAGAAATGTGATGTCATACCTTGCGCAGCCTTTAGGAGGAAGAAGCATCGAGCTACTACTACTAGTAGCTAGCTAGTAGCGCATCAAACGGTGCGCGGCCTTTAGACTACT